TCCGTCTCAAAAAAAAAAAAAAAGAAAAAAAGAAAAATCCACAGCAGCATACTCAATCCTCTTGCTGAGACGCGCCACTACACTCTTCTGCAGTGTTCTGTTACCGCCTAAGGGGTTCACCTTGCCCCTGCCTAGACAGAGTCAATTCTTTGAGACAGGGGAATTGTGATAGAGAAAGAGTAATTCACGCAGAACCAGCAGTGTGGGAGATCAGACTCCCTGAGCATGGGGGAGCAGAGTTTTAAAAGATAACTTGGTGGATGGGGGGAAGTCAGTGAGCCAGGAGTGCTGATTGGTCAGGGATGAAATCACAGAGAGTCAAAACCATCTTCCTGCACTGAGTCAGTTCCTGGGTGGGGGCCACAAGATCAGATGAGCCACTTTGGGCAGCCAAGCTGAGTGGATCACCGGAAGTCGGGAATTGGAGACCAGCCTGGCCAACATTGTGAAACCCTGTCTCTACTAAAAATACAAAAATAAAAATAAAAAAATAAAATTAGCCAGGCGTGGTGGCAGGTGCCTGTAATCCCAGCTACTCAAAATTTTGGCTGAGACAGGAGAATCACTTGAACCTGGGAAGCAGAGGTTGCAGTGAGCTGAGATCGTGCCATTTACACTCCAGCCTGGGCGACAAGAGCAAGACTCCGTCTCAAAAAGGAAAAAAAAAAAAAAGATGAGCCAGTTTATTGATCTGGGTAGTGCCAGCTGACCCATCAAGTACAGGGTCTGCAAAATACCTCAAGCACTGATCACAGGAGCAATTTAGGGAGGGTCAGAATCTTGTAGCTTCCAGCTGCATGATTCCTAAACCAAAAATTCTAATCTTGTGGCTAATGTTAGTCTAGTCCTCAGGTAAGAAGGAAGTCTGCTTTGGGAAAGGACTGTTATTCTCTTTGTTTAAAACTATAAACTAAGTTTCTCCCAAAGTTAGTTCAGCCTACGCCCAGGAATGAACAAAAACACCTTGGAGGTTAGAAGCAAGATGGAGTTGGTTAAGTTAGAGCTCTTTCACTGTCTCAGTCATCATTTTGCAAAGGCAGTTTCAGTTCTTCCTCTCTAATAAACTTTCCTTTTTTCAAACCTATACTGTTTGTATGTATGGTAAATTCATTTTACCAACCTGTGAGTTGACCACTTCCCAGTGCCAGGGCTCTGACACCTTGCCAGGCACTTACGGAAAGATAATTGGAAGAATCTAATAGAATTTTAAATTTCCATGCCTTCCAACCCAGCAGTCAAACTTCCAGGAATTTATCCTACTAATATAATGGCACGACGATCTAAAGATATATTTGCAAGGATGTTCTCCACAGCCTTTATTTAATAAGATGTGGAAAGAACCTTAAATGTCTACTCAAAATTGTTGAATAAATCACGTCTACAAAATGAATAATGCAGACTTGAAAAAGAGTGAGGTAGCTCTATGTCACCAAACTGGAACAATGAAAGATAGCCACTATAAAGTACAAAAAGCAAGCTGAAGACTGTCTCTATGTTTGAAATTTTTCATAATAAAAAAATGAAAAAAAAATGGAGGACGATTAGATATATTGTCTTTTCATGAGTAAGAATCTCACAAGTCTTGGACAATTAAACCCCACCTTCATCCCTCCCATCTCATCATATCTGACCTCAACCAGTTTCCTACCTACACTGCTTATATGCCCATTTGCTCTATATGACTCAGTCATTTCAAGATTGCTTTTGTTTTCCCTTCTTGATATAAAAACAATATTAAAAATGTATATTTAAAATTTGTTTAATTACATCCCATTATTACAGTTCATTTTTGCATATTCCTATGTTGAAAATCCTTTGGTATAAATCAACATCAAAACTCAGTGTTATTCCACTTTTCTTGAACTGTAATCCTTTTTAAACAAGGAATATAGCCTTTCTTGTTTAGAGAATGTAAGCACATTCATAAATCTTGGCAACTTTGAAAGGCCATAACAAATTTGTGGTAAGAACTCAGATCCCCTTTATTACTGTAGTAAACAGACAGATGAAATTAAGAGATTATAGTTTGTTTTCACTTTCCCAATTACTATCACTTGAAAAATACTGGATATTTCATTATTATCCTGTTGGGAGTCGGCAAACTACGGTCTACTACCTGTGTTGGTATGAGTCAAAACCTAAGAACGGTTTTTACATTTTTAAATGATTGGGGAGGGAGGGCCAGAATGCAAGGGGAGTATTTCATGACATTTGAAAACGTTATTAAATTCAAATTTTAGCATCCATAATAAAGTTTTATTGGAACACAGCCATGCTCATTTGGCTTTTGTTTTTGGAGACAGAGTATGGCTGTTGCCAAGGCTGGAGGGCGGTGGCAAGATCTCGGCTCACTGCAACCTCTGCCTCCTGCGTTCAAGCGATTCTCACGCCTCAGCCTCCCAAGCAGCTGGGATTACAGGTGCGCGCCACACGCCCGGATAATTTTTGTATTTTTAGTAGAGACAGCGTTTCGCTATGTTGGCCAGGCTGGTCTCAAACTCCTGACCTCAGGTGATCCACCCGCCTCGGCCTCCCAAAGTGCTAGGATTACAGGCGTGAGCCACCGCGCCCAGCCTTCATTTAGTATTGTCTAATGATGTTTTCATACTCCAAGAAGAAAGTTCAGTATGGACCACAAAGCCAAAAAGATGTCCTCTCTGGCTCTACAGCAAAGATTTGCCAAGCCCTGTTATATGTCATACTATTTGCGCTTCATAATTTTATAGTTTTACCTAGGCAGTCTCCATTTTTTCCTTCCATATTCAGCGTAAAATCCCCGTGTTTTTTTTTTTGGAGACGGAGTCTCGCTCTGTCGCCCAGGCTGGAGTGCAGTGGCCGGATCTCAGCTCACTGCAAGCTCCGCCTTCCGGGTTTACGCCATTCTCCTGCCTCAGCCTCCCGAGTAGCTGGGACTACAGGCGCCCGCCACCTCGCCCGGCTAGTTTTTTTGTATTTTTTAGTAGAGACGGGGTTTCACTGTGTTAGCCAGGATGGTCTCGATCTCCTGACCTCGTGATCCGCCCGTCTCGGCCTCCCAAAGTGCTGGGATTACAGGCTTGAGCCACCGCGCCCGGCCCGTAAAATCCCCTTAATATCAGTCTCTAGGCAAGCTCATTCTTCATAATCCTTAGAATTGGACCTCCTCTTGTTAATTTCCTTAGTCTAATCACAATCCTCCTGGTTATTTACAAACCGAACGCCAGAAAGGAGGGTTATCAACATCTTATGCGCCACAAATTAACAAATCAAAACCAAATCTCACTCTCCCTCCGAAGCCAAGGCTAAGGAGGCTCACCGCCCAGTTAGTGGCTTTCAAACTACCCTTACAAGTGAGGCATCTTGTGAATTAGAACAACTGCTGCTGCTAAAATCCCTAATGGCTACATAGCAATGTGAAAAAAGGTATCAAATGTAATTTTCTCAAATTTAATCCTCTTCAATTGTTGGCACAAAAAAAGGAATAATAAAGGTAGACAACTGTAATTAGCATGTGTGATCCCAAATCTTTATACCTTAGATACTGGATATTTTCTACAAGTAAATAGTTTCTGGCTCCCAAGATGAGAGGTTAAATAATGCAGGGTGTTTGTAAACAGCAGCACAACTTACACCGGAAATTAGGGCACTTTCTCACCAAGGAGAGTACATCAAAATTTGCTCATCTCTTTCAATCAATGTTCTCCAGGACTAGTGCTGGGGGCGGGGAGGCGGAGCAAGCTATCTTCTCTACCAGCCGTGTCACACCCCTCCTAGCACTAACCCCTCCTCCTCAGCCTCTTCACACCTCTACCCACTACTAACCCCTCCCCAGCCCCATCACCGCTTCCCGGGCCCCTGACACCTCTCCCAGCATACTCTTCCTGGCCTCATCACCTCACCCACTTCCTCCAAAATCACAGGACCTGCTAAGCTTCCAGCAGCAAGCGAGCAAAGCAGGGAGGCTGTAATGCAAAAGTCCGCAGTCCCTACACAAACACTATCTGCTCCTGCGGAGAAACTCAAGTCACAGCCCCAGAAGAAAGAACAGGCCTGGGCTCTCACCCAGTTAACCAGCGTTTATCCAGCGCACGTGTTGCGGTCGGACCCCATGCGAAGGAGCTAAGGACACAAAGGTGAGCAGCAGAGTCGCGGTTCCAGCTCTCTCCCGGCTCCCACTCCAGCGGGGTAGGTAGATAATTTCGGTAAACTTCGCCAAGCAGGGGCAGGACAAAGAGTATTTGAAGTCTACCCGGGGGAGAACTTACCTAATCCTTGAATGTTAAAAGGCTAAAACTCCACCAGTCGGAAGTGACGTGCCAGCTGAGCCCCGCAGGTCCGCCACGTAATTGGCCGCCGCCACAGCTAGCCACCCTCTCCCCGGACTGGCCCGAAGAGAGGAAAAGTGTGGAAGTCCACAAGCCGCCCTCGCCCCGCCCTCTTCGTCGACTTTCAGCTGCACTGGGGAGCGGCGGCGCCTGGCCAGAGCCGGGGCCTGGAGCCTGGACGGGACAGCCTCGCCGGCCGGGGCGCCCGTCCAGCGCCCTGCGGGCCATGGGCTTCAGCGCTCGAGCACGCGCATGCGCGGGCCTCTATCTCCAGAGGATTCCTCGGGTCACCTGGACGCCAGCATCTCAGCCACCTGCCCCTCTGGGTCCCTTCTTGTCCTTGATTCCTCCTGCTGGTTCTCATCGCCAGCCCTCCTCCACCTCCTCCTTCCGCAGCCACCGCTAGACCCGGCCGCTGCCGCCTGCCGACACCCCAGCTTCCACTGACACGAGCCTCGGCGCGGCTTCCGCTTCCGGCGAGTATTGTGTGTCGCGCCGCGGGGCGGGGGCGAGGGGAGGAGGAAGGAGGGAGGCAGCGCTCCGGCGGCTCCGCGCCCCGCACTCCCGGACCCGAAGCCGGGAAGGTAGGTGCTGTCCCGCCGCCGCGCCCGAGTCTGGGGCCTGCCCCCGCCGGCCGGCTCCGCAAGTCGCGTCCCAGCGCCCCGCGACTGCGTCACCGGCCCCCCGCACGTAACCACAGCTGCCTCCGCCCGCCTCGGGCCCGGGCGGACGTTTTGCCGCCCCGGCGACGTCAGCGCGTCCGGCGTTGCTTGGCTACCCCGCCGTTCCCCCGTCCCGCTGCTGCTCACCTCCCCGGGTGAAACTCTGACGCAGTCACCGCGGGTCTCGGCTGCGTCATAGCGGCGGGCATCCCACCTTCACGTCACACCTCTTCCTCACCTGGACACGCATCCCTCCCTACCCTGCCAGCAACGACGTTTCCTCTTTCCCCTCTCCAATCCCCCTGCCCCAGATCTGGCGGAAGAAGATGGAGACGGGGGTGGGACAGAGTTGTGGACAACCTCTCAGGACAGGGTCGCAAGGTGGGACCCTGAACAGTGGTTGAAACAAAATGAGATCGTCCCTGAAGTTTGCCCTTCAGCTGAGACACAAGGAGTAGAGGGAGACGAAGGACTAACCCAGAGGCACTCAAGGTCTCACTATGACTGTAGTTTAGAGTCCTCTCCATTCTTCCCTAACCCTTTCCCCATTTCTTTCACCACTTCTTTGCCAGTCTAGATCTGTCCTGGTGCCTTACTGTGCATACAGTTCTACTCATCTCAGGTGAGGAGGCCACCTAATTTGTAAAAGACTGAGGAAGGGGTAGGGTCACCACAAGTCAAAGTTGGATTTCCACAGGTAGAGAGAAATCATCTGATTGAACTTCTCTCCTATTGCTGACAGAAAAAATTCAAGTCCAAAGAAGTTATCAGCTCCTACTCCAAACACATTTGTGTGTGCCAACAATATATACAGGAACAATTGTTGTTAACCTACCTCATTACATGGCCACTTATCTCTCAGCACATAGATTTACCAAATTTCCTTCCTTCCAGTAGGTCCCTAGAGAAGGATGGGGGTCAGGAGGAGAAAGGGTTATGGGGATAGATACATCAACTTACCCATGGCTAAAAGTATCGACGTTTTAAGATGGAGTGGGGGACCAGCGTTGTGTTTTATAAATCTCTCTTATGCATTTCCAATTCTTCTGAGGCTGCACTTGAGGGAGATCTCATTGCCTCTTTTCTGTCTCTTAATTCCCAACCACTCCAGAACCTATTAGTTGGAGACACAGTATGCCCAGGATGTTAGTTATCAATAGTTATATTGAAGGATTCCAGTCACTATAAATAGACTTGTTTCTTTACAAGAAGTTGTTGGCCTGAGCTCAGTAATGTACTATTTAATATAGTTGCCATAATTTATCAGTTTTCAGCAGTTCTGAGTGTCCAAATGAACACAATAGAAATGGAATGTTGCATGAAATATGTCATTCCAAGAAGAGAGCAGACTTCCTTTAGGCTAGTCTGATGGATAAAAGGAAGAATAATTTCAGATTTTCCTGGAAAGAGAAGGTTGCCTTTGCTTCATTCATTCCATTTGTTAGCCTTTAGAACACTGGTATCTAACCTTTTGAATGGGAGGACTCTTTTTACTTATCTGTGGTGGCTGATAAAACAAAAATTATGCATGGACCTTTTGTGGTGGCTGATAGAACAAAAGTTATGCATGGACTTCTTTTTTTTTTAGCTTATCAGCTGTCATTAGTGTCAATGTATTTTATGTCTGGCCCAAGATACTTTTTTTTCCAATGGGCCCAGGGAAGCCAAAAGATTGGATACTGTGGTTTAGAAGAATGAGAGAACAGTGTCAGAGAATCAAGCTTAGACTCCAGTGGATTCATCATAAAGCCCTTATAACATTAAACTTTAAAATATGCTTAATTTAAGAAATGTTAATATTTTTATGACATTTTTTACTTCTCAGATTCCTTTCTTATCTATTAGAAACGTATGTCAAACGAGGATACAGTGGTCTGGAACTATTGGTTCTAAGATACAAGTGGAATGAACCTGGATCAGGAGAAGTATGCTGAGCTAGAGTTGAAGGAAGCTTCTCTTTCTAACAAGAGAAAGCAGAGGTAAGAGACAAGATAGATAAATTGGGGGTTGTGTGTCAGTTTACTAACAAGAAAAAAAGGTTAATGGCTGGGAGTCACAAGTTTTGGAAATGGAGAAACAAAGAGATTGAATTGATTGAAAGAGAAGATGGAGAATAACAAGATTGGGCAAATCTGGAGTTAGGACTTAACAGGGATAAATGTTGGGCCAGGGATGCAAAAAAAAAAAAAAAAAAAACACCTCCAATTAATATTTTTATTTTTTCTGTCCTCTTCCCCACTCCCAAGTTAAATTATGGCAGAGACAAGTCTGTTAGAGGCTGGGGCCTCTGCAGCCTCTACAGCTGCGGCTTTGGAGAACTTACAGGTGGAGGCAAGCTGCTCTGTGTGCCTGGAGTATCTGAAGGAACCTGTCATCATTGAGTGTGGGCACAACTTCTGCAAAGCTTGCATCACCCGCTGGTGGGAAGACCTAGAGAGGGACTTCCCTTGTCCTGTCTGTCGAAAGACATCCCGCTACCGCAGTCTCCGACCTAATCGGCAACTAGGCAGTATGGTGGAAATTGCCAAGCAGCTCCAGGCCGTCAAGCGGAAGATCCGGGATGAGAGCCTCTGCCCCCAACACCATGAGGCCCTCAGCCTTTTCTGTTATGAGGACCAGGAGGCTGTATGCTTAATCTGTGCAATTTCCCACACCCACCGGGCCCACACCGTTGTGCCACTGGATGACGCTACACAGGAGTACAAGGTGGGGAAGCAGACACATGATGTCAGTGTGGGTAAAAAAGGAGCAGTGGCAGAGGATGAAATACTCCCTAGGTAGAGATCTTAAGCTTCTACTACTCACTTTGTATTCTCAGAGCTGCATATGCAGGGGTACACAGTATGTGTGATCAGTTGTCCTCTAGCCTGAAAAAGAACAATGGTGAGAAGTGTCCAAAAATTTCTATCTGACTTTTGCAATACATATGAGTCTTTTGGGTGAATATTATGAGTCTTATGGGTGAATATTGGTATGTGTGGTCTTGGAAGGTATCATATTTTTCATAAATGAATGAAACCACATGGAAAAGATTAAACTTAAGAGGAACTGAAAAGTCTCATTTCTTCATTCTGCCTGCCTGCTCAGAATGCTCCTTGTTTTCACATTGGTTATTGGGCATAGGTAATATCACTTGAGACTGATACCTGCCAGACTAAGCTGAACCATTCTGTTGTTTGTAGCTTCTCCAGGTAATGGTTAACATGGCATATCATTTAACTTACTGCTGAGACACAGGAAAATGTTTGAATAAAGGGAACAGAGATTAATGTGTTAGCATTTTATCATATACTTTGCTTAATTATGTTACTCTTGAAAACAAGATTTCAGGTAACTTACAGTATAATAACCATGTTTTACAGTATAATGACCATGTTTTTATTTTAGGTGGATAGAGGTGGATGGGAGGACAGGTTTAAAGAAAAATATCAGGTTACAGAAGGTTGCTTTGATGGTAGTAGGCAGTTGTCTCAGTAAGAAAGTGGAAAGAGTTGAGAAAGGACACAGAGTTGGTGACAGCTATCTCAAATTCAGTAAGAGGACAGTTGGGTGAGCAGAGAAGGTGATGTGGACAGACTGTAGGAAATTGACATCCCAAATGACAGGCAAGGAAGGAAATCAGATCAAGAGGCAGTAAGATGGCTAGGAAGCAAATAAATGGTTTAAAACAAATGGTTTAATCTCTGAATGAGAAATGTACCAGTCAACCCCAAATGTCACCTCTCCCACTTCTTCCCTACCCCTCAGGAAAAACTGCAGAAGTGTCTGGAGCCCCTGGAACAGAAGCTGCAGGAGATCACTCGCTGCAAGTCCTCTGAGGAGAAGAAGCCTGGTGAGCTCAAGGTAAAGGCAGGCAATCCCATGTAGGCTGCTCTGAAGGGTATTTGTCTGTGAGGGTATTAACTATACACTATTTAATCCACCAGTTCCAATTCATTAGTAAAATGCAGTTCTTGGCCGGGCATGCTGGCTCACACCTGTAATCCCAGCAATTCTGGAGGCCAAGGTGGGCAGATTGCTTGAGCTCAGGAGTTTGAAACCACCCTGGGCAACATGATGAAACCCTGTCTTTACTAAAAACAAAAAATTAGCCGGGCCTGGTGGCACGTACCTGTGTACAGGTCCCAGCTACTTGGGCGGCTGAGGCAGGAAAATTGCTTGAACCTGGGAGGTGGAGGTTGCAGTGAGCCGAGATCGTACCATTGCACTCCAGCCTGGGCAACAGAGCAAGATTCTGTCTCAAAAAAGAAAGAAAGAAAGAACAATGTAGTTCTCTCAAAAATTATGGTATTTTATTAGGCTTGATTGTCATTAAACATTGTACTTAAATTACTTGTCATGAATTAAGTATTAAGAGGGATTTAAGAGATGAAGAACAGACAGAATATCTTACATCTGGTGAGCTGAGAGAGTTCGTGCCTCTTGGTCTCCTTTTTTTGTTAAAGCAGCAAAGGAGGCTTTCTGCTGAGAAGGCAGGGATGGGAGTTTCTTAGAGGACTTGAAGAGAGGAGAATGTGGAAGATTCACTGGGGAGAAAGGGAAAAGGAGCTGACCAAGAGTCTCAGAAGAACTATCCAATGACATTAGGACCACATTCTTAAAACTCAAGTAAGCTTAAGTATGCTAAATGATGTTGGTCCTAGAATGTTCTTCCCCTCCCCATCCTCCAGCATAGGATCCTATTCATCTCTCAGATGGGATGAAAGCCACTTCCTATGCAGCCTTTCCTGACCCTTCAGAAATTAACATTCTTAATTTTCATACAATTTTGCACCTCTTTTATAGCATTGCCTTATTTTTAGCATGGTATTTTGGTGTCTTGTCTTTCTTCTGTTGAACAGTGAACAATTATCATTTGTAGCAAAAATAACTAGAATTGAGTCCTATGCATTAATTCATTAGATATCCATGACATAGGGTTGTTAGGGTCTTGAAGTTCAGGCCAAATTGGGATAAGTGAGACATAGAAAAGCTACGAGAAAGAGACAGAAGGAAATCCTGAGGCCATCTTTAGTAAGATGTAGGAGTAAACTTAGATATTCTTTAAGGTAGGTATTATTACCTTCAGCTTACACAGAAGGAAATGGACCTTGAGTAAGTGACTAGTCCAAGATCATGAAGCCAGTAAGTGGCAAAACCAGGAATGCTAGTTCTTCGTGAATCAGTAAATATTTGTTAAGCTCCTGGTTTAGGCCAAACCCTGTATTTGACACTGGGGAACAATGATGAGCCAAAACACAGTTCCTGCCCTCCTTGAGCTTAAAGTTAAGTGGAGAAAATTAGTAATGGCACAAAATGCACAGGTGCAAGTTCATAAGAAGACAACATAGAAATTTGGCCTCCTTAAAGGTTTCCCAAAGAATGATGAGTTTTTAAGAGTTGACGTAGGGATCACCAGAAGCTAAATACAAGTTTTGATTCATAGAAACATGAATTTTTAAATGAATGACAACATTTCATCAGAAAGCAAGTATTATTACCTTAGTGCCTTACCCATTTTAGCAAAGTAAGCATTTGAAATTTTTAAAATTTGAACCAATTTTGGTTACAAACGTGAACTTTTAGTTTTTTGTTCTTTTAGAGGCCTTCTGAGAAATCTAAAAATATGAAAATGGTGCTTATTGCTAGTCATTAGCTTTCTTCTTCATGTTGGTCATCTTCTTGAAGGTAAAGAATAGAGATGGAAATATACTTTTTTAAAACCTTCTAAATGCTTAAACAGAAATGTCATGTTTTTTTTAAAATTGTAAATTGTCATGTCAGTGATCTCCAAAACTACCACCAACATTCCTCTTGTGACCATTTGAATTCTCCCTCCTTCTCCCTCATCAGACTCAATGCCCCTTTTAAAAATAATTTGTAATTATGCTGAACTGAAAATTGCAGGTAAAATAACCTATGTGCATAATTTTAAATTTTAAAGAGTCTATCATGTCCAAATGTAATGAAACATAATTGATGATAAAATGTGGTATGTAATATTTGGGCATGACTACCCTGAAAGACTTTACAGTATAGCTGGTTATATGCTTGCACCTATATGTGTCATTATCAGCAACATATAAATACAACTTCAGACTGAGATGGATGTGTGCCAATGTGATTGAAACACTAAGTAGCTTAGCTCTTGGTGATACGATTTTTCATAATAATAACTTTTGGTAAAGTTCTAAGTATAACAGAATATAATCTTGTGTTTTATTTAGCTATTGCTGAAAAATTTATGTATGGTAAAACCATGTAAGAATTACTCTGTGTTTATACTACATAAAATGATATTCAAGCCCAAGCCTATGTTTTTGAATACCCAGCAGAACATTAGAAAATGTTGCAGGTCAGTTCACTATGCCGGATTGTCATTGGAGGAGTGCTAGCGTCATTGTCAGGAACTTCCCCAACTATGGAAAACAAGAAGATGTGCCCATTTCCAGAATATCCTCAGAGGGTGATAACACCTTCATTAAGAACCACTGCCCTAAAATATAGAGTGAAAAAAAGAGAAGAGATTACTGGTTTATAAGAGGAAGAGCCTTTTTGCTTCCTATTTATCACAGTCATAAATGTTAAACTTGCACCCCTACCTAAACAAACACACATGCATACACACACACACACACACACACACACACACACACACACACACACACACAAAGGCTGTGTTTTATTGAGGGCAAATGTGAGAATATGTTTTGTTCAGATGTACACTGAGAAGGCAGTGGTGGAAAGTGAAGTAGCAAGTGGCCCTAAACTAGAAGAGCTGGTCAGCTTCTGCCAGGAACTAGCTTGAATCCACAAATGCCACGCTTGTCAGGCCCATCCTGGCTTTGCGTCCCCACCCTCTCTTCACCCTCAGGCCTGCCTTTCGTTCCCTATCCACTTCCTTCTAGAGTCCCAGTCTCTGCTTCTCACTTTGCTTCACCATCAGTCACATGATGCTTGGGGAATTCTTTCTTTAGGGAGATCACTATTTGTTGTAGTGTAGATGCAGAAGAGAGAATGTACTGATAATTCTCAGAAAGTGTTATGGCTGGTGTTTGAATCCTGTATTACCAAATTTCAGAAATGTTAGAGGCCCAATGTTAGAGTCTATGTGCTGGCTTAGAGAAAGCATGTTTCAAATTTCAAGAAACTAAATTACTAACAAACTTCTGTAACCTGTTTCTGGGGTAGGAATTGCCAATTCTCTGAAGTGACTTGAAACAATTTAACAAGTTCAGCCCTGAAATCTACATATGTATATTTTATAATAACCCATAGAATTCTTACTGATTCTTGTATTTTCACAGTTCTCTGGTTTTTATCTGGTGGATGTGTTGCAATATGCAAAAGATGACAATCTTATTTTTAACTTTTTAGTATTTGTACTTTCCTTTTCGTTTCATTGTTTTTCATGTTTGTTTTGAGACAGAATCTCACCCAGGCTGGAGTGCAGTAGTAATCACAGCACACTAACTCAAACTCCAGGGTTCCAGCCATCCATCCTCTTGTCTCAGCTTTTTGAGTAGCTAGGACTGCAGATGTGCATTGCCACGCCCGACTAATTTTTTTTTTCTTTTTAGTTGAAACAAGGTCTCACTGTTTTCTAGGTTGGTCTTGGACTCTTGGCCTCAAGTGATCCCCTCACCTGGGCCTCCTAAGCACTAAGCTTACAGGCATGAGCCACCATGCTCAGCCTGTACTTTCCTTTTCTCGACCGATTGAATTAACTAGAACTTTACAGTTGATAATAACACAGATATCTCTGATATCTGTAATAGTGCATGTCATCATATTATTGAGTTTTTTATCTTAAGTTAAAAATATATATATATATATATGTCCCCAGTGGTCTTCACTACCAAGTCATCAGTAGGGGAGTGATAGTGATGGAGCCATTCTTTACAGAAGGAAATTCCAGTGGAATAAAACATGAGTGTTCTGTTAAACCATTTTCTCTCATTTTCTTTCTTCCTTTCTGTCTGTCCATCTTTCTGTCTTTCTGTCTTGTCATTCTTGTCTTTCTGTCTTTGTCTGTCTTGTCTTCCCTGTCTTGTTAAACCATTTTCTCTCATTTTCTTTCTTTCTTTCTTTTTTCTTTCTTTCTTTCTGTCTTTCTCTCTGTCTTTCTGTCTTGTCTATTTTTTGTAGAGTTGGGGTTTCACCATGTTGCCTAGGCTGGTCTCGAACTCCTGATCCCAAGCAATCCACCTCCCTTAGCCTGGAATTACAGGCATGCGTCACCACACCCAGCCTTTGTTAAACCATTTTCGGTGAAACTGGAAGTCTGTGTTAATTCATACATATGGTGGGTGAGAGAAAGGCTTCCTTATACCACACTGACCCTGCTGATATAACATCTTCCCTCTTCTCAGAGACTAGTGGAAAGTCGCCGACAGCAGATCTTAAGGGAGTTTGAAGAGCTTCACAGGCGGCTGGATGAAGAGCAGCAGGTGTTGCTTTCACGACTAGAAGAAGAGGAACAGGACATTCTGCAGCGACTCCGAGAAAATGCTGCCCACCTTGGGGACAAGCGCCGGGACCTGGCCCACTTGGCTGCAGAGGTGGAGGGCAAGTGCTTACAGTCGGGCTTCGAGATGCTTAAGGTTCGACCTTTGCCCCTGCATAGCCCCTCAGGCCGAGTGCAGTGTAGCTTTGCATAGGCTGTTTTGTCAGCCTGGGATACTCATTCTTCTGCTCTGCTTCCCTAAATCCCGTTCTTTCTGCCAGGTGTACTTAAAGGGTCTTTGGTACAGAAAAGCTGATCTGATTTCTCCCATCCCCTTCTAATCATTTTTGTGTTCTTATCTCTTGTCAGCAATTATGTGCTTAATCTGTTCCAAAGAAAAGATTCATTCTTTTGAAAAGAGGGAAGTCTAGCCTGAGTTAGTGAAAAACTATGCATTAAAAATTTTGTAAATGCAGTTACCATTACTTTTAAGTCCTGAAATTTGATTTATGTACTGCTGAAAAAGAAACATAGTTTAAAGGATACAGGCATGCCTCAGAGATATTGTGGGTTCAGTTCCAGACCACTTCAATAAAGCGAGTATCTTGATAAAGCAAGTCACATTAATTTGTTGGGTTTCCTAGTGGAATAATAATCTTTTTGCTGGTGGAAGGTCTTGTATCAATATTGACTGATCAAGGTGGTGGTTGCTGAAGATTGGGGCGACTGTGACAATTTCTTAAGACAACAACGAAGTTTACTTTCGACTCTTCCTTTTATGAAAGATATCTCTGAGCATGTGATGCTGTTTAATAGCGTTATACTCACAGTAGAACTTCTTTGAAAATCTTTGAAAACCCACATTTGTAGTTACTTACACCACTGAAGTTTTGAACCCCTAAAAGTCATCCATAAGGGTTGGAATAGACTTCTTCTAAATGCCTGTTAATATTGATATTTTGGCTTCTTTTCACAAATCACGAATGTTCTTAATGGCAACTAGAATGGTGAATCCTTACCAGAAAGCCTTCATTTTACTTTGCCCAGTTCTATCAGAAAAATCACTATTTATAGAAGCTTTATGAAATATATTTATTAAGTAAGACTTGAAAGTCAAAATTACTTCTTGATCCATGGGCTGCCAATTGGATGTTGTATTAGCAGACACGAAAACAACTTGAGTGTCATTTTACATCTCTATCAGAACTTTTGGGTGATCAAGTGCCTTGTCAATGAGCAGTAATATTTTGAAAGGAATCTTTTTTCTGAGCAGTAGGTCTCAACTTAAAATTTTCAGTGAAGGGTTGAACACAGTGGCTTATCCCTGTAATCCTAGCACTTTGGTAGACCAAGGCAGGTGGATTGCCTGAGGTCAGGAGTTTGAGACCAGCCTGGCCAACATGGTGAAACCCCATCTCTACTAAAAATACAAAAATTAGTTGGGCATGGTGGCGGGCGCCTGTAATCCCAGCTACTTGGGAGACTGAGGCAGGAGAATCACTTGAACCCGAGAGGCGGAGGTTGCAATGAGCTAAGATCATGCCATTGCACTCCCGCCTGGGTGACAAGAGTGAAACTCCATCCCCCAAAAAAAAATTTCAGTAAAGGCTAGGCACAGTGGCTCACATCTGTAATCCTAGCACTCTGGGAGGTCGAGCCAGGAGGATTGTTTAAGGCCAGGAATTCGAGACCAGTCTGGGCAATATAGCAGGACCCTATCTGTACAAAAAGTAATTTTTTTAAATTTAAAACATTCAGTATACCATGCTGTAAACAGGCTTTGTTGTTCCATTTCTAGAGCACAGGGGAAGTAGATTTAGCATAATTCTTTTTTTTTTTTTTTTTTTGAGACGGAGTGTTGCTCTGTTGCCCAGGCTGGAGTACAGTGGCCAGATCTCAGCTCACTGCAAGCTCCGCCTCCCGGGTTCACGCCATTCTCCTGCCTCAGCCTCCCAAGTAGCTGGGACTACAGGCGCCTGCCACCGCATCTGGTTAATTTTTTGTATTTTTAGTGAAGAAACATGGGTTTCACCATGTTAGCCAGGATGGTCTCGATCTCCTGACCTCGTGATCCACCCGTCTCGGCCTCCCAAAGTGCTGGGATTACAGGCTTGAGCCATCGCACCCGGCCAGCATAATTCTTAAGAGTCTTAGGATTTTTGAAATGGTAAGTGAGCACTGGTTTCAACTTAAACTCACCAGCTGCCCTTGCTTCTAGTAAGAGAGTCATCCTGTCCTTTAAAGCTTTGAAGCCAGACATTGACTTCTCTCTAACTGTGAAAGCCCTGGATAGCACCTCCTTCAATAGAAGGCTGTTTTGTTTACATTGAAAATGTGTTGTTTAGTGTAGCCACCTTCATCAATAATCTTGGCAAGATCTTCTGGATAACTTGCTGCAGCTTCTGCATCAGCACTTGCTGCTTCTCCTTGCACATTTTTGTTACAGAGATGGCTTCTTTTCTTGAACCTTTTGCCTTCAAACTAATACCTAACTTTAAACTTTTCTTCTGCAGCTTCCTTACCTCTCTCAGCTTTCATAGAACTGAAGAGAGTTAGAGCCTTGCTGTGGATTGGGCTTTGGCTTAAGAGAATCATGTGATCTTATATCCAGATCACTAAAATTTTCTCCATCTCAGCAATAAAGCTGTTTCACTTTATCATCATTCATGTGTTCACTGGAGTAGCACTTTTAAGTTTCTTCAGTAACTTTTCCTTAGCATTCACAGCCTGGCTTGCTGTTTGGCACAATAGGCCTAGCTTTTAGCCCATCTTAGCTTTCAATGTGCCTTTCTCACTAAGCTTAAACATTTCTAGGTTTTGATTTAAAGTGAGAGACATGTGACTCTTCTTTCACTTGAACACTTAGAGGCCATTGCAGGATTATTAATTGATATAATTTTAATATTGTTGTGTGTGTCTCAGGGAATAGGGAGGCCAGGGGAGATGGAGAAAGATGAGGGAATGGCTGGTAGTGGATCAGTTAGAACACATAAAATATATTTATCAATTAAGTTGTTTGTCTTATATGGATGCAGTTCACAGTGCCCCAAAACGATTACAATAGTAACATCAAAGATCACTGATCAAGATCATACTAGATATAATAATGAAAAAGTGTGAAATATTGTGGGAATTACCAAAATGTGACACAGAGACACGAAGTGAGCACATGCTGTTGGAAAACATGGTGCCAGTAGACTTGCTCAACACAGGTTGCCACAAACCATCTAGCTGAAAAACACTCAGTGTCAACAAAACACAATAAAATGAAGTGCAATAAAATGAGGTATGCCTGAAATTATGTTTAAATAATATATTGCTTTTGTTATGTATATATCAATAATACCTCTAAAATATTTGAAATACTTTGTTCTCTTCAGTAAATGAATGGTGTTAGCAAAACTGTAGGGAACATATTTTTTATCTTAGAGATTAGATTACCAGCATTTGACAGTGAGGCTTCATTGTACACTTATTTTTGTGTTACGTATTGCTTGGTGTTTGTTCCTGTGTCCTTTCATGTATGTGTGTTCTGCCTTCCACATTAAACTGGGAAATCCTTGTGGGACAGAGATTTGTCGTCTTTGTCTTCTGGATCCCAAATATTCACAAATCAGTATTAGCACACAGTTATTAATGTGTTTATTCTTCCTTTTTTTTTCTTTTTTTTGAGATGGAGTCTTGCTCTGTTGCTCAGGCTGGAGTGCAGTGGTGCGATCTTGGCTCACTGCAACCTTTGCCTCCCGGGTTCAAGCAATTCTTCTGCCTCAGCCTCCCGAGTAACTGGGATTACAGGCACACACCCCCACACCCGGCCAATTTTGTATTTTTAGTAGAGACAGGGTTTCACCATGTTCGCCAGGCTGGTCTTAAACTCCTGATCTCAAGTGATCCACCCGCCTTGGCCTCCCAAAGTGCTCGGATTGCAGGCGTGAGCTACTGTGCCTGGCTAGTTATTAATGTTTATTAACCAATGCAAGACAGGGAATACCAAACCGTAACAGGAATGTGTGATTTGTTCCAATGCCACCAGTCTGGAACTCTATACTGATCCTCAAGGAGACTGAGATATGTGGTTGGTACTTGGGGGACCAGAGTAAAGAACTGACACAATCCCTGTCCCTGGTAGGGAGCTCCCAGCATCCTTGAGGAGCAAAGACAAGCATAAAAGAAATCATTTGGAAGTGATATAAATGACCAGGCTTCATGATGACCGAAAGTTGAAAGTAGGGATTAGGTTGGGAGAAGTGCCCTCAGGTCCCCCTGGAGCTCTTCTTGCATTGCGTGACCCTCAGTTTATCCTATGCCTGTTTCATAGCTGTGGAACTTTTGGGAGGAGGGGGAACCTTTTGCCTTCAGGACCACTGAATACCAGGACCAATACTGCTTTCTTTTCTCCTTCCTTCTAGGATGTCAAAAGTACCCTGGAAAAGTAAGTGATTGTTGTATCTCTTTCAGTGAGTTAGGTCTTGGCTTAGAGAGGAGGGGTACAGTCAGGAGTTTGGGTTGGGGGTAAGGTTGGGAAAGTCATGTAGTGTCTGAGCAGGGTATGGGAGAATGTTCATTGTGCCCATGATGCCAGGTAGAGAACAAATTATTGGGAAGAATAATCCCTTTTCCCCTTTGAACATCAGGACTTCTTGAGAAGGAGAATGATAAGGCAGAACCAGATTCTACTTGTGCCAGTGGATGGAATTATGTCCGAACAAGATGGAAGGAGGAAGGGGTTGGGAGAACAGGGAGGGCAATCATCCATTTGCATGAAATATAGGAATATTCCTAGAAAGTTCAGAGGCTCACTCTCAAAATGAGGATCTGTCCACGGGATCATAAGGCTCTCCTTGGATTAGTAAAAGAAAGCAACAGGTGAGCTCTTCAGGGAGGAGGAAGAAAGTGGAAAGATGGAGAATTTTCATTTCTCCCTAAAGATGTTAACATCTGAATAGTCACTTGGCTGGAGCTTCTCCCTAACTCTGCCCTTTCTTCCCCTATCTCCCTATCCCTCCTAGATGTGAGAAGGTGAAGACCATGGAGGTGACTTCAGTATCCATAGAGCTGGAAAAGAACTTCAGCAATTTCCCCCGACAGTACTTTGCCCTAAGGAAAATCCTTAAACAGCTAATTGGTGAGTTGTTCCCAAAAGGAAACTAGAAGGAACCACTAGAGAGAAGAAAGCTTTTAGGTCCTGCCTTATATGGGTTTCAGTTATCCCATCTCTCACTTTTCTTACTCCCACCCACACCTACCCCTTTATCTGGCTTTTAGTCTCACCCTGAGTCACAGAACTTGGAGTGAGAGGAAGCCTTAAGTGTTACCTACTCTTAGGTGCATACTTTTTCAAGGCCCAGAAAGGTTAAATAATTTGCCAAAGATTGGGTAGAGTGATTATATAATTTACCACGTAAACTTGCATAACCTTGAATGGCCGGGCGCGGTGGCTCACATCTGTAATCCCAGCACTTTGGGAGGCCAAGACTGGTGGATCACTTGAGGTCAGGAGTTTGAGATCAGCCTGGCCAACATGGTGAAACCCCATCTCTACTAAAAATATAAAAATTAGCCAGATGTGCTAGTGGGCGCCTGTAATCCCAACTCCTCTGGAGGCTAAGGCAGGAGAACTGCTTGAACCTCGGAAGCAGAGGTTGCAGTGAGCTGAGATCGCACCACTGCACTCCAGACTAGAGGATAGAGTGAGACTCCATCTCAAAAAAAAAAAAGGAAAGAAAGAAACTGAAAGGGAGTGTCATTATATTAATGTGAATATGCAGGGATAAATAGTCATAAACCAGGCCAGTGACACATGGTCACCCTATCCCTAGACCATATGCTGTCTTGCTCTGCATCCTTCTTAACACTTTCCGTTTTTTCTGCCTCTCAGACTACACCTTGTACTTCTCTATGTAGTTAGATAAATGATAATGTCAGAGGGAGATGAAGAGAGGACCAGGCGGGAACCTACATTACCAGCCACTGCAGACTCAAGAGATTATTATCTGTTTACTTTAGGGTCAGTGTGAGAAGTGAGCCATTGCTTTCTCCCCTCCCTTAGGTGACACCATGGATTGAGAAAGTTAACCAAACCGTGTTGTTCTGGGGACCTTTAAGGGACCAGGCTCTGTAAAGGCAGGCTGGAAGAGTGAGGCAGGGGCATTTAGCTATTCCCATCCTCATCTAGCTCCCCACTCTGGCTTCTCCCGCCAGCGGATGTGACCCTGGACCCTGAGACAGCTCATCCTAACCTAGTCCTGTCGGAGGATCGTAAGAGCGTCAAGTTCGTGGAGACAAGACTCCGGGATCTCCCTGACACACCAAGGCGTTTCACCTTCTACCCTTGCGTCCTGGCTACTGAGGGTTTCACCTCAGGTCGACACTACTGGGAGGTGGAGGTGGGCGACAAGACCCACTGGGCAGTGGGTGTATGCCGGGACTCCGTGAGCCGAAAGGGCGAGTTGACTCCACTCCCTGAGACTGGCTACTGGCGGGTGCGGCTATGGAATGGGGACAAATATGCGGCCACCACCACACCTTTTACCCCTTTGCACATCAAAGTGAAACCCAAGCGGGTAGGCATATTCCTAGACTATGAGGCCGGCACACTGTCTTTCTACAATGTCACAGACCGCTCTCATATCTACACCTTCACTGATACTTTTACTGAGAAACTTTGGCCCCTCTTCTACCCAGGCATCCGGGCTGGACGGAAGAATGCTGCACCACTTACCATCAGGCCCCCAACAGATTGGGAGTGACAGGTTGGGATGTGGGAATAATTGGGGTGAGGCAGGGTCAAGTGCTACGGGCCTCCTTCCTGTGTCCTGCTGGAACGTCTTCGTGTCCACCTGGTTCCAGTCCTGAATCATCATGGAGAAACACCTCGGTTTCTAGGATGGTTTTGTGTGGAGAAGGAGGTAGGACTGGGCTGGATGAGACAGCACAGCTGTGACTCCCTCCTAACTGTCAGGGTGGGGAGCTGGTTCCCAGAGGATTGTCTACCCTGAAGTCCATCAGGTTTTCTGTTGCACAAGGACGGGTTGGAAAGGAAGGAGAGGCTTTTCCAGAAACAAAATCTGTGAGGGTCTGACTTGCTCAAACCAGAGGAGGAAACAGAAACCCCTGCACATCTTTTTAGGGAGTTCTTTGACCCAGGATAGTCTTGCTTCTTGAGGTAGATCACAGGGGTCTGTGTACCTCTAAATTCAAGAAAGATGAATGACAGATGCTCTCATGGGTCTAGATGTTGAGGAGTTTTTCTGAGGGCAGAGATTGGACATCAACAAGGCTAGAAGGAAGGTCAGGGAAGTGGGCTAAAGGAACAGATTCCTAGAGATTAATAAAGGGGAGGGAGGTTTCTTTGGTCTTCTATTTTAAAGGTAAGATTGCCATTATGGGTAGGATTGACCAGAGGTAGGAATGTGGGGAGAAGGAAAGGTTGAAAGGAAAGCAGAGAACCCAGGTCCCTGCCTCAGCATTCAGCAGAGTTGGCTTATTGCTTGCCTCTTTATACCAATAAGTCAGTCACTTTGCTCCTCTCCAGGGGCAAGGTGGAAGAGATCCTGCAAGACACATCTATCCTCTCACGGTGTTCCCAAGGGAACTTGGAAAGGAGAGTCAGGTATTAGAGGAAAGAGAAGGGTATTTGTATCCAAAGCCCTGGCCTTAAAGAATGTTACTAAGTAGCTACCCCCAAATTGTCAGCCTTGTTACCTGGCCAAGGTGTCCAAGCCAGAAAGGAAGAAAGGTAGTGGAGTCCTTCTCACTCTAAGACAGTGGGAGAGGGTGGTATATAGGGAAGGGCCAGATAGGCAACTTCCTTTGGCCTGTGTGCATCTGGCCTGGAACTGGTGTTAACAAAAGCCAGGTTTTTGCTTGTTTGTTGCCATCCCTCACCCTTTGCCATTTCCCTTTTCAGAGAATGTAAATGATTTTCATGTTAGGCCAAAATAAACAACTTATAGGGTACATATGTTGTCATAAAAGGTAAAAGTGATGCATGCCAAACCAAACTAAACCAATTTGGATTATCTGCTGTTCGGGTAATCTTCACAGAAATGACTGAGAGAAGAATCTGCAGTTTATTGAGGGCATTTCAGTTCCTCCTACCACCTCAACAGGACTTTGTCCAGACTCTCCTCCTCTTACCTTTGTGCCTTGACTGTGGTTCTTTGTGGCAAGATACTTTGGTTGGTTAAAATAATATGGAACAAAGGATCCACTGAAGTGATCTCTGTGTTGTGTGGTCATTTGGTGACAGCCTTGTACTGATGTGTAAGAATCACTGGGTGTTCACATGCATGTTCCTGGGTCTCACCCTTAGTGGTTAGTCAAGGTCTGGGGTGGGCCTGGGCATCTACATTTTATTTATGAGACAGAGTCTCACTCTGTCACCCAGGCTGGGGTGCAGTGGTGTGATAGCTTACTGCAACCTCCGCCTCCCAGGTTCAAGCGATTCTCCTGTCTCAGCCTCCAGAGTAGCTGGGACTATAGGCATGCAGTACCACACCCGGCTAATTTTAGTAGAGACAGGGTTTTGCTATGTTGGCCAGACTGGTCTCGAACCCCTGAACTCAAGTAATCTGCCTGCCTCCACCACCCAAAGTGCTGGGATTACAGGTGTGAGCCACCGCACCCAGCCTACATCTACATTTTAAACACACCTCTCTCATTTGAGTCTGAGGACCCTTGTGAAACTAGTTCCAGAGGAGGTTTCAGCCTGTCCTTCCTCCCAGCTGGAGCCCTGCTTGTCTGCCCCCGCCTGGCACCAGGTCTGAGAGTGGAGAGAAGTCTTACCCTCTCCTGACTTATGCTGCCCTCCCCATCTCAGGGTTCATTCATCTTCTCCAATTCACGTCCCTCTGCTTCTCACTTCAGTAACTGATAGTCACTGTGAGTCACAGGACACCAGACAGAAGAAATGGAAGATAGAAGAGGTCAGAGGGAGGGGTGTGAGGTGAAGTTTCAGCGACAGGGGATGCTGTTGACAGATTTCTGTGCTGTACCTAAGCCTAGGAGTTAGAAACCATTCACTCAGAAAGTGAAGATCACCTACTGTGTGTCCAGCACTGCATAACAGGAAGTGTTTCTTTGGTAGGTGGAATAGTAGGAGTAAACTGCTTTCTGAGGATCAGGAGTCCTTTTCCCTCCCTCCAGCACCCTTATGATCCTTCCCACTTTCACCCCCACTGGCACCAGTGCTTTTTTTTAAATGTATTACCTCTGTGCTGTCCCTCTGTAGATCTTACAGGCATCTGCCTCTGACTTCAGGAGAGTAGAGCAGAAGCTCTAGCTGGGTATAAATTGCACATAACCATCTCCCTTACCTAGCTACATAAAGAGACCAGCCTTCTGTCCTGAAAATGTCTAGCCGATATAAGATCCTCACCTGCTGCACTAGGTCTCTACGTGATATAATTGGTCATGAGCTTGAGGAAGACAAAAGCACTGAAAACTCATAAAGGGACCCTGGGCATGGATTGCTGGGGATGGATTTCCGAACAGATAAGTCTGTGAGGCCTGGGGGAGGCGCCCGAGGGCGCGGGGACTACGCTTCCCAGGAGGCCTCGCGCGGACGCCCGGGCGGGGCTGTGCGAGGGGCGAGTCTGCGGGCGGCCCTGGAGCGCGGCGCTGATGGCGGGGCCGGTGAAGGACCGCGAGGCCTTCCAGAGGCTCAACTTCCTGTACCAGGTGAGTCTGCGACAAGCGCCCCAAAGGGGACGGTGCTTGGCGCCCCAGAGTGACCGCTTCCCTCCCGCAGGCCGCCCATTGTGTCCTTGCCCAGGACCCCGAGAACCAGGCGCTAGCGAGGTTTTACTGCCACACTGAGAGGACCATCGCGAAGCGGCTCGTCCTCCGGCGGTGAGACATTCACGGGGTCGGCGGCGGGCGGGACGCGGGAGGAACGCGAGAGGGAGCGCGGACGCCGGACCACTGTCCTCCTCCGCCCCCAGGGACCCCTCGGTGAAGAGGACTCTCTGTCGAGGCTGCTCTTCCCTCCTCGTCCCGGGCCTCACCTGCACCCAGCGCCAGAGACGTGAGTGCTCCAGCCGAGGTGGACGATTGCGGAGCATTGGGGGCGGGGCGGGGGGAGAGGGCCCACTGGAGGTCAACAGCGCCTTTCTCGCTCTTGATGGATGTTGGGTGTGGGATTCGCAGGAGTCTTCCTTCTTCGGGTTTGAATTAAGTTGCTAACTCCACTTGCACAAAGTAGGATTTCGGCTTGGCTTTTTTTCTTTCCAATGTGGGCAGTAGAGAATAGCTGTTACTTTAAGAGGCATCCCCACCCATGCACAATAATAGATGTTATTTGGCTTTGTGGAGGACATGATTCCCATCACCATTCATTTATTAAGCAAATACTTACTTTCTAAAATGTGTCAGGTACTGTGCTAGATTCATTATTCTCATTGAAATTATGGATTGATGGGACAGATTAAGAAACAAAATGGTGTAGAAAAAAATTAACTGGGGGAGTAGATTGCTCACTTACTCATGCCAGTGGTGAAGTTCATGATAAGCAAAGGGAGTGAGAGATGGAAATTCTAGGCATGTGTGAAGACTCTGAGACAAGAGAGCTTGTGGTGCTGTCAAGGAAATGAGAGTTCAGGAGGCTGGAGGGCAAGACATGAGACTGGAGAGGGGAACAGGCCAGTTCTTGAAGTCTAGTTAAGGAGTTTGAACTTTATCTTAAAGAGTTCCAGGAAATCGATGGAGCTTATGCCAGGGCCTGATACCATCAAATGTGCATTCAAATTAGGGGTGTGGTGGGGCAGCGGGGATACCTACTGAAAAACACTGGAGGCAAAACTGGCAGCAAGAGACCGTTACTTCTGAACCTGGACACGCTTTTTCCCATGTTCACCCTAGGCTGCAGGGGACAGCGCTGGACAGTACAGACCTGCCTAACATGCCAGCGCAGCCAACGCTTCCTCAATGATCCCGGGCATTTACTCTGGGGAGACCGGCCTGAGGCCCAGCTCGGGAACCAAGCAGGTGAGAGATAAGGGAAAAAATGGAAGACACCTCAGACGATCGGGACAATGGAGAACATAGACTGAAGAGGACCCATGGACAGGTTCTGGGTTGGTGTGAGAGGTACCACAGTCAGAAAACTAATTCCGCTCCTCTGATTCTGCTCATTTACCCAGATTCCAAACCACTACAGCCCTTGCCAAACACAGCACACTCCATTTCAGACCACCTTCCTGAGGAGAAAATGCAGATTCAGGGTTCCAGTGACCAGTGATGGATTCACCTAGTCTCCCAAATAAAGTTTACTTGTTTTACATTCCATGATTCTGTTCTGTGGGTACTTCAACTCTTAATTCCCTTTTCTTGTTTCTGTCTGTGTTTCTTGGTCACCTTTGTAATCCCACCATGCGGGGAGATCATGATTTCCATAGACCACTTGGCCTCACTCAGCAGCTCGCATTTCCAAGGCCATGCCCCCAGTTCCCTATCCATGTCCTGAGCCACCTTAGGGCAGTCCATGTTTGGGCAGCCATAACTGCTGACTGAAGAGCTGGAGAGAATGATGCCACTGCTGCTGTTTTTAAACAAGGGGAAAAATATGGGGCAGCAGAGAATGTTCATATCCTCTAGGCCCATTCAGAGTCAGAAAAGACTCAGGTCTTTTCCCAATCTCAAAGTTATCTTTAATAAAATTCTAATAAAGGAAATGGCGCACACCTGAACTAACAAAGTCAAAGATGCTAACAAAGGACACCAACAGACATTTCGCAATTGTGTCCCATAGGTAAACTCTCAGAGTTTTCTTAAGAATAAGCAACTAAAATGTTTTCTTCCATATCCCTAGAAAGCCTACTGAAGTACAGAATTCCTAGACTGACCTTTTTGCTAATTGCCAGCTAATCAAGTTATGCCAAAAGCGTACAAACCAAATTTACTATTCCTAGAATGCAGTTTTATTTCTCTTATAAACCCTGTGTTTGCTTATCAATTGCTGTATAAAAAAATCACTTCATGTTGGAGCTTAAAACATAATGATTTATTTCCTCTGGTTCTGTGAACTAGGAATTCTGAAAGACTTTGACTGGGTGGTTCTTCTGTTCCATATGAAATCAGCTTACATACCTGCATTTAGCTGGCGTCTGGTAGGTGGTCTGGAAGACCCAAGAAATTTCACTCGCATGTTTAGCACCTCATTGCTTCTCCAGGTATCCTTGCTCCCTAGCTAGCTTTGATGTTCTCACAACATGGTTGTCTCGGAGTAGTTGTATTTCTTACATCCCCTCTGGCTTCTACAAAAGCATCCCAATATGTAAGTGTTTGGGCGCAGTGGCTCATGCCTGTGATCCCAGCACTTTGTGAGGCCAAGGCAGGTGGATCACTTGAGTTCAGGAGTTTGAGACCAGCCTGGCCAACATGGTGGAACCCTGTCTCTACTAAAAATACCAAAAAATTAGCAGGTGCATGTAATTCCAGCTACTCGGGAGGCTGAGGCAGGAGAATCACTTGAACCCAGGAGGCAGAGTTGCTGTGAGCCAAGATCGCGCCGCTGACCCTTATCAGTTACATGATTTGCAAACATTTTCTTTCATTCCATGGATTGTCTTTTTACTCTCTTGATAGTATATTTTGATGCATAAAAGTTTTTAATTTTCATGATCTTGCAGCTACTTCCTGAAGAACCGAACTGTCTCTCTCAGACCTTATCTTTTGCCTACATCCTGATTCTTTTTGGAGCTCGTTCTAACGCTGGCCCTGCTCAGTGTGACCTTGACACTACTTAATTAGGACCCCCTCACCTCCTTTCAGACCTGGTGCCCACAACTATATCCTGCCTCACTCTGCTTTGAAAAAGGAAAATGTTCCCCCTGGACTCTTAGAGTAGATGTTGGTGTCTGGGTTTCTCTTCCTAAAATCCTTTCCTTCTTAGGGCAATCAGTGAGCCCTGTTGAATGGCCTATGGAAGGAAAATGAATGTTCTAAATTTTCTCTGACCCTTTTCTTCAGATCCCCAAAGGTTCTCCCCATCAGCACCCACTATGACCCCATCTCTGACTGTAATATCACCCTGAGGTGCTGGGCCCTGGGCTTCCACCCTGCAGAGATCACACTGATCTGGCAGCAGAATAGGAAGGACATGGAGCTTGCGGAGACCATTTTATCTTTTTGACAACATTTTTTAAGCTCTGTGTACTACATATAAATCTAATTCAGTGTTTTGGACTGTCATAGATTATGCTTTTAAAACATTTTGTTTATCTCTTATGGATAGTCAACTAGTTTGCTTCCAATATGTGTTACCATATATATCTCTGTAGTAGAATTCTAGACCGTGGACCTATGAGAGTGGGCCTCTGGAGTACTTATATACAATTACAAATTGGATTCTGGGTTTTTGTATATGGAAATTACCTGAGGAAAGACAAACTTTCCTTCAGCTTCCACAGTCTACACTCCCCAGCAATATACCAAGTTCATCTTTCTTTACATGCTCAGTTGATTTTCCTCATCTTTGTCACAATCTAATCAGTATCCAGTGTTTCCCTTTCTTGTTGTAACCTGAGTGTCTCTTATTGCCAGTGATACTGCATAGCTTCAAATAAGTCTTCAAATAAGTCATTTTCCTCTTTCTTTGAACTGCCTATTCAAATGTTTTCCCCTATTTTTCTACTGGATTTCATGGTGTTCTTTTCTTTTTGATTCGAAGGGTGTTATGGGCTAAACATTTGTGTTCCCCCAAAATTCATATGTTGAAGCCCTAACCCCCAGTGTGGTGGTATTTGGAGAGGGTACCCTGGGGAAGTAATTAAGTTTAGATGAGGTCAGGAGGGTGGGGCCTCCGTGATGGGATTAGTGCTCTTTTAAGAAGAGTGAGATTGGAGCTCTCTTTCCCTACCTTGTGAGGACACTGAAAGAAGGCAGTCATCTGTACGCCAGGAGGAGGGTCCTCACTGGAACTGTATCTGCTGTCACCTCCAAAACTGTGAGAGATAAATGTCTGGTATAAGCCACCCAGTCTGTGGTATTTGTTATAGCAGCCAAAGCTGAGTAAGACCTAAGGTTTTTGTTTTTTGTTTTTTCTTATAATGGAAAAGAATTCTTTTAGAGTTTTACCTGGCACATTTGTGCCTTTAATACATTTTGAGTTGATTTCTACAGATTGTGTGAAGTAATTTGCTAGTTCACTAAGGCTTGAGTGAATGCCTTCTCTCCCAAGCTATACTTGAGTCCTGCCAACTGCCTGGGCCTGGAGCTTCTTATGAAGCCTCATCTCCAAGCAGTGGTCAGTGGCAATTTCTTTCAGGAGAGAGCCTGCCTTCAGTCAGTCCTGACAAACAGCATGCTGGAAGTGTCACCCCTTCCCACTGCCTTTGCTTTCTGTTGATGACCCATTCTTCATGGAGAGTGGTGTTTCTCTTGTCCTTAACTAAACTATAACTTTTCTCTTTTTGTGTTTTTCTTATTGCCATGTAACTTGGGGCAGAGAGTCTTTGCCCAAGCGTGAATGTATTGTGCCATCCTCACCAAAGCCTGTCATTTAGGGATCCTGTCCTGCTTTGTGGTGGGTCATTCTGAAATTACCCCTGTTTCGGCCCAGTGGAATTTCACCAAAACTGTGGGATTGAAACTGTCTCTTGAAGAGGAACTGTGGGGAAAATGAACAAACCAACATTCAGTCTCAGTTGGAGTATGCTTTTAGGCTTTCCCAGATTATGGAGTATAAAGCTAATTGTTGATTCATTCCTTCTTGGCTTTACAGTTGTAGAAAGAGATCTGGCCTAAAATCCCTATAACTGGGACGGGCTGAGTCCAGGCTCTGACATTTGCTAGCTGTGCAACTGGGCAATATTTTGTTTCACTCTCTAGCCTCATTTTCAATAGGTAATACATGCAAGTAGTAGGAAATTCAGAAAGTATGCAAATAGATAGGGGAATTAATTTTCCAGCTACCCATTTTATCTCCCAGAGGAGAATACTGTAAAAACATTCTGGATATTTTTGTAAATATATATAAACAAGTTGGTCTTGATTTAAATTTTTCTTTCATACAAATGGTAGAATACTATTATATGGGTCATATACTGCTTTTTATTTAGCAAAAAAGCTTAGTGCTCTTACCATTTTAGTATCTAACATCAGCTTCATTATTTTTCATCACTGCATAATATTCTATTATGTGGATATACCATAATTTATTTAGTCTGCTCCCTGTTGAGTATTTACATTCTTTCAAGTGTTCTGCCCATAAACAATATGTAAAGAGCTTAGGTATGGCTATACATCCAGCATGGATGAGTCTTCAAAACATACTATTCAGTGACTGGGTGCGGTGGCTCACGCCTGTAATCCCAGCACTTTGGGAAGCTGAGGCTGGTGGATCACCTGAGGTCAGGAGTTCAAGACCCACCTGACCAACATGGAGACACTCCATCTCTACTAAAAATACAAAATTAGCCGGGTGTGATGGCACATGCCCATAATCCCAGCTACTCAGGAGGCTGAGGCAGGAGAATTGCTTGAACCTGGGAGGCAGAGGTTGCGGTGAGCCGTGATCACGCCATTGCTCTTCAGCCTGGGCAACAAGAGTGAAACTCTGTCTCAAAAAAAAAAAAAAAAAAAAGAAAAAAAACAAACCAAAAAGAAATACTATTTAGCAAAACTCCACATACAAAAGAACACATATTGTATGATTCCATTTATGTACTGTTCAAAAACAATAAAATATTAATATACATACAGACATATAATTTACTGTTTAGGAATCTCTACTTAGGTGGGAAAACTTTGAAAATAAAGCAAGAAAACATCGCCTGAAAATTCAGGGTAGTAGCCAATTGGGAGGGTATGTGATTGCTGGAGTAGAGGCACCTGGACTGCCAGCAGCATTTAATTTCTCAAGTAAGATAGTAGGTACATTGCATGTATGCTTCATTTAGCTGTACTTTTTTGCATTTATGTTATTGTTCACGATAAAAACAACTTTAAAGTGAAGTGAAAAGAGTACTATGCGTAATATTTTTGCTCACATTTTATTTTACACCTGGGTCTGTATCCACATGATAAATTCCTAAAGGTTAAATTGCCAGATCAAATACTTTGCAGTTGCATTTTGATTGAAAATACCAATTGCCTTTCACAGAAATTACATCAATTTACTCCCCATACAAAACAACACACAAAATATTGTCTGATTTCGTTACCTTCACCAACACAATAAGGCATCACCAAATCTCTGGGTTTTGACCACCTGATAAATAACAGTTTCTATGTGTGTGTGTGTGTGTTTCTGTTATAGGGCCCTAATCATGATTTGTGTAAATGTG